AAAAGATGGAAGATTTAATATGCCCAACATAAAAGGTATTATACAATCGCAAAAATTGTCCATGCTAAGACGTTTTCTTTCACACTCTGCTAAATGGTGTAATCTTTTTATTTTGAATCTCCCTAAGATAGGTTATGGTAATATATTTGAGTATAGTTGTGAACATTTGAGAGATAAAATACTTCCTTTTATAAGAAATAATTACTACAAAGATGTCGTTTCAGCGTGGTGGGACTTTACATCTCAACTTGAATTAAACTCTGAAAAAAGATAGTTATAATGAAATCCTTACTGAAAGTATATGGTATAATAAAAATATTATGGTAGAATGTAAAACGGTTTACTACAAAGAATGGTACGAGCACGGTGTTCGCTGGATTAATGACTTGATTGATAATAATGGTAATTTCTTTCAATTTGAAACGTTTCTAAAACAATTTGACCTAAAAACAAATTTTCTCAAATATCATGATTTGTTCCGTTAAACAATATCTTCAAAAGATCAATACAGATTTAAAAACAATAACACGCAAACCAAACCCTGTTCTACCCCGATATATGCAACATCTCTGTAAGAATGTAAAAGGGACGCAATACTTGTACAAAACTCTAATTTCAGGTCTAGGTTTAAAAAAAACCAACGTGCATCGAAATGGGAACTAAACATTTTATACGACGACATTATATCTAATGATTGGCCACTTTACAATACTATTCCCTTTAGATGTACGAAAGATACTAGATTACAATGGTTCCAATACAGACTTTTACACCATATCTTGCCAACAAACATTTTTTTAGAAAAGATAGGATATAAAGACACTAGTTATTGCAGTTTTTGCTCGAAGATATAGAAACAACTATCCACTTATTCTGGTCTTGCAGCAAGGTTAACCATATATGGAAAAATCTTGAGAACTGGCTACATGCTGAAGCACAAATAAAACAATCAAAATTGAAAAGAAACATGTAATACTTGGTTACCCAAATAAAAACAATGATCCAATAAATATCATCTTAATTCTCTTCAAGGAACTAATTTTTCGAAATAAGTTTAACAACATTATGCCATCTTTTCAAGTTTTTCAACATAAACTGTTTGAATATTATATGTTAACAAAGTGTTCGTCAATAATTAGTTGTAATATCAATGCTTTCTACACGTTCTGGTCGTCATGTCATGATTTATTCTGCTAAAACTAGTTGACAGTTCATCATGTATACTGGAAAATCATTGTTATTTGTTTGTATAAAGTGTTGAAAAATGCAACAAAATAAAAAACTATAAGAAAAAAATTAAAACATTCTAACACGGACCTTCACGGGTCAGAATTACAGTGATTTCCTCATGAACTAACATCATGCAAAAGTAGCGAATATTTGATTTAGTATACGTATGTTTAAATATTAAGAACCTTATTTAAAAACACCACTACCAAATCTGCATTCATAGTGTGTTTCGGCATTTTCACTTCAGGTTTACCAGTGAGTTTGTTGCAAAACAATAAGGTAATTCTTACAAACACGGTATAAATAAAAGCGACAAAGGCTTTTTTTTTCGTAAATGTCTGTTGTATTATTCCGAATATATCATCATCAAGACACCCGTAACAAATACATGCAAAGGCAGGTCAAGTGATCACCGGAACTAACTAGCATACTCGGCCTCAAACAACAGGAAATGCGTCCTTTAATACACATACTGGACAGATATTGAACATGGAACTATGTTTGAACTCGTTAGTGGTTATACACATGTTACCTTAATATAAACAACGTTACCCCGACCCTGGAATACGCACCATGTCACTGTAAAGGACAGATCTGATTGTGCCAATCCGTGTTTCAGGAGAGCCACCCAAGAGCAATTTCTGCCAGCGCCATGGCCATGACATTTACTCAGGGGTAATCGATTTTTCATCAAACACCACTTTCAATATCATTGACACATTGTGGAGATGGTGTCAAGTAATAAACAAGGGTAGGTCAGACATAACCTATTTTCTTTCTGTAATGTGGCCTGGTATTATTGGGTTAGTGGGTACGAGATTTCACCCTCTTTGCAAATATTAGCCCCGTGTGCAGTGGCCCTAGAGTGGTATCTGAAAAAGGACCGTCTTCAATATACAGGTGTTGTTCTTCATTTCAGGGAGCTTGATACAATGTAATGTATATGACTTGTGATGGTGACAGGATACAGGTACACTGGCGCATTGCTCATTTACCATACTGATTCGTTATCTTGAAACTATATATCTCTCTCTCTCTCTCTCTCTCTCTCTCTCTCTCTCTCTCTCTCTCTCTCTCTCTCTCTCTCTCTCTCTCTCTCTCTGTGGATTGAATGCAATTATATCTTGGTTGGATTCGACTGATCAGTTCTGACAAATCCTAGTCTTCACAGCGCATTAAGCAGCTTGAGAATTCAGAGTAAATACTGCTTAACTGAGTAAAACATTTTGAGAAAAGACACTTTACTGCTTTTCTATTGGATATATATTAAACCCATAATATGAGGTACAGAATGAGACCGTCCTCCACCTATGGTACACTGCCATTAAAACTTGAAATCCCAGATGATGCAAATGTAAGTGATTATGTTCATTGTTCTCTTCCAACGGAACAGAGTGACATGAATGGCAACACACACACACAGAAATAACTGTCGTGAAAATGTCAGATCAGATTTTATTGTTAGACACGTTGATCGTTTGACATACATAGTAGCAGATGATATTGATACTACCGTTAACCATTGCGTTGACATGTTTATGATCTATAAAGAATTTCTTTTCAGAAACACCCATTATCGTTTGCATCTGGAATGGTTTGATGATGAATGGTGTTGTATATATAGATGTCATCAACATTTTTCTGAAACTTGCCTATAAAAGAACATTTTGATGCTATAAACATTGAATAATTTAGGAACATATTGGCCAGAACATAGCAAGGCCATCAAGAAATATTGATTAAGGACGGGTTTCGAGTTAATGAGTGAATGAGTGAGATTTACCCCGCTTTTATCAATATTTCAGCAAGATCACGGCGGGGACACCTGATATGGGCTTCACACATTGTACCCATGTGGGGATTCGTACCCGGGTGTTCGGCATCACGAGCGAACGCTTTAACCACTAGGCTACCCCACCGCCCCCGAAAATAATAAAACAGCATCGAAGTACAAATAGAGGTACTGAGTGACATGGGTACTTAAAAGATCTTCTCAGTCTGAAAACAGATGATAAAATGATATCAATAAATATTCCGTCCATATCAGTGAGGTTTTACACCAACATAACCCAGATCGATGTGATTCGAGTTCGAATCCTAATGACATAATTATCGAAAACATGCAAAATGATATGAAGCTATTAATATAAACAATTCTTATGTAATACATTCGCAATACAACTATAACAAAAGTAATAAACTGATAAATTTAACAAAACTATTTCAGTAATAATACGAAACATCTAAAAGTCCATTGTAACATTCCATCTATGTCATAATAAGCGCTCTCAATTAGGAAGGCGGGTATTTACCAACACGTGATAAGTGGTAGCTATCAGGAAATTGAAACACATGAAAGACATGAAACACATGAAAGACATGAAAGACTGCTTCATGACAGAGAAGCAAAGCTCTCCTTCAGATCAATGAATATATTCGTAACTACTATATACAAACTGCCACAAAATAGTTTTGAAATATTTGAAAATTGTAGCAATTTTGAAAAAATGATTTATGAAAAGTGTCCATCGATAGTTGTGAAAATTATAACTTTCCAGTTCAAAATCTTGTCATAAATTGTGATAGGAGGAGAGTATCTTTGCTGAACTGTATTCGGTAATAACCAATGATGACCTATGGAAAAAAAGAAACATTAAATTGTAGTTGCACATTATATTACAGTAGTTAATGTATTAAATAGTTAAAGATTGTAACTGTCATTGTTTAATGTGTTTAATTAATTTGTGAAATGGTATTTACTTTTTTCCAAACTGTCATATTGAACGAACAGAAAGATTATTAGCATTTTACATGAACATGATTATTAGCATGATTATTCCATTGCAGAGCCCCGTGTCAGTCTGACACATATCAAACCTAGTAACCTGTGACAGAACAGTGTGCCAAGAAACGACAATCATATCACAAAAGTGGCCCTGCCCCACTGAACCCGAACTCATGACCATTCAACAAAAGAGGTCTTATAAAGTTAATCATTAGCATGCATGACACTCTTCATCGGGGAATTCTATGTTTTGCATAATGTAGTCATGGAAACAAAATAAAGATATTAGCTAATTAAAAAAATATGGTAGTTTTAACCAATGATGCATCGGCTATTTCATGAAACACTTTTGTTTCAGTTCTCATGTGAGTTCAGAAAAGTAGAGACAAAATATTTTATGGGATATCGATCAGTTATGTTGACAGGTAGGTGATCAAAACATGTCAGTCAGAGGCCATCGCATGATGTTTACGAGTGGCACTGCCATTATCTAAAATTATAACGTGGAAATACATTGAACTAGGTGTTGCTGGTTATGATTATGACAGCTATTTAGTACCTTTATAACACTGTCACTTCTAATAGTTTGTGGCCAAGGGATAATGCATTCCACTTCTAAATTATGACGCCAAAATTCACCCAAACACGTCCAAAACCACTCTCTTTATTAAATCTGAAACTTCAGACGACGAATGCGCCAAAGTTTGTTCGTATATATTTTCTTTTAAGGTATTAAACAAAAATATTTTAGAAGTCCCGTTTTTTATCAATGTAAATTAATTATTTTTTTCATAAAAATTCTAAAATATATTATTTCGACATTACTGCATGTTTTTCCAATATAACTATCAATTTTAACAATGCCCCATGACAGCAGTTGCCAAGGGTGATGATGAAGAGTATTACATCATATGTCCATGTGACACGTGATTGCAGAAGTGTTAGACAAGATGAGCTTCTAGACCTACTGTGTTTATTCTTACAGGCCCCAGGTAGTGAGCGACTAGCACAAGGATGAGTGATTGGGGCGTTGCACTGTTGGTCATCGTCATCTGTGCTGTCGTGGCGGTGGCAGCGGCGGTGTTGTTCCGGCTGTTTGGCATCTACCATCTTGCAGCGTGTTTCGCCAGTGACGAGGAGAAGGCGGTGTTAACGAAGAACGAACAGGGGAATGGCTATATGGTGAGATGATCATTGGGCTTTAATCAGTTTGTCTGTACAGTGTAAATAGGCTAATGGTAGTCCATGTCATGTAGTGTTCTGTGAACACTGTGTACAGCAGCTTTTGTGGATCAAAAACAAAGGTTTAGCAAACATTTTACCAGCAAAATCGTGGGGACGCCAAAGTGCTCAGATTTTATACCCAACCCAACCAGACACAAGTCTATCCCGCCGCCCTCAACGAACACTAAACTGATTATCTAGCCTGACCTTAATCAGCCAAAGCCTTAATGCAACAGTCTGATCACTAAATGCATCATATCATACTGTATGCCGACACGACACTGTGGCCTCTCAGCGTGAAGCACATAACTAGTGTTTACAAGGGAGAACAGCAACAATTAATCTATGAAGAGTACGTTGTACACTTGTGTATTTTGCCTTCTTACATTAGAAATGATCAACAAATTTGAAATTTGTTTAATCATATTCCCTTGCAAGCTTCTCTTTAAATGTAGAAATGAACAAACACCGACTGTTTCTTACGTTTTCCCGTTTTGTGCTTATAATATGAAGATCTTCCAGCAGTTATGACAACAATGTGTCTGTATTGATTCAGTAGTAGTAGATAACCTATAAATCCTTGAACGTTAAACACTGCAATCTGTGAGGAACGAGATCCACGATTTGTGTAAATTCTCGAGCGTTCCTGGTCGTTTAAACTGCAAGTAGAGAGAGAAAATAGGATGTTTACTCACCATATAAATTCTACTTGAGGGTGTATTTCTCGGGACAGATTCAGTAATGCATCTTAAATACAAGCTGGGCACTGTCTGAAAGGTCGAACGAACATGCTCAGTCAGATTTCACTGAGTTCAGATCGTTCTGAAAGGTTGTTGTACAAAAGAAGACGATTAATGTATGACCACATAGCGTGTAATCAGAGTTTCCCAATATTACGAGGAGGCTGCGACTCAGCGTTTGGTCAAAAATACAACATGATCAATCTACATGAGACGTGTAACATGTATGGATATAACATACATCTTTCTTCTCAGACCAGGATCTGCATAATACATGTAGGCAGTGCCGAGGATACAATGCTGTCGCCATGCAGTAATTTGTTTTGTACATATTTGTACGTAGGATAAAAATAATAACTCCTTAACTAAATATCACTGCATTGGCCCATTTTAAGAGCAAATCAATATCGTTGAACCGATAAGGGTCTGGTACGGTCTTGTCAGTAGTTCCAATTTACAAGTTCTATTTACAAGTCTTTGAGTGGTACGAATGCATGCATTTCTCCACACACATCTCTACAGACATACGTACTACTAGCTGGAACTTGGCTCCTGATCAACACACGTCCTATTACGAAATATCTCATTATTGGAAACTCCCCTGTCTGGCAATCCCGTGTGATCTCTACGGATCCCTACCCTGCGATTGAGGGTCAGGTTGGCTGCGTTCCGTGACGGGACAGATCCCCTGAGTAGACAATCTTAATTAACAGAGTTGTATCGTTTTGGGATCATTTATGCAATGCATCCTAGATACGGCCTTCTTGCAGCAGAAGGGAGCAACTCGAGTCCCCAAGGACACAAACACCTCCAAGGCCTTCACATGAATTAGATCAAAGTAGCAGTAAGACTACATGTTCAAGGATGGGGGACTGCTACAGTATTTGTTTTCTCCGTTGGCAGGTGAACCATTCTGAGAGCGCTGAGTTTGTTCTGGACACGAGTGGGAAGTTTGTACAGTATGACACTCTCAACTCGGACCCCAAGTACCTCAACCTCGAGGCGGGCAAGGTAGCCAAGCAGGAAAGTGTTGAAAGGACCAGTCCAGTATCCGTTGGGACGAGCTCCGTCAGTAAGTCTCCTCTTACATCTCCCACAAAGGCATTATCTATAGCCTTGGATATGTGTGAGTCAATCTTACATGACGTCATATTACGTTTCCATTTTCAGAAATGATATGTAGAATAATGTATTCATTTTGATGTGTTCTGTCGATGGATTTACTGTCCAACGACTATCCACAATGTCTTTCCTTGTCATGATGTTACAATGTCATTAAATTGTTCCGTTTGGAGATTATAGACAACACAGAACTGATACAGTGAATTAACCCAGTACAACTGACTGAAGGTCACTGAATAATTAACCTGATATCCACATAGAAGACATCGGACATACACTTCCATCTTTTCCCCACATGTAACGCAATCTAGTATTGAGAACGCCAACTATTCATACAAACACGTCGATACATGTACATAAACCTGTAGGTCAAGTGCATGAATCAAAGCATGGGTATGACCCCAAACAATGCATCTGTTACGTCATGAATGACCTTGGCAATAGATGTTATCGCCTCGTATATCGTAATAATGCCTACAGTGACTGGGTGAAACGAGATCAATAAATTACAGTCCCACCACATCCATTGCTGGCTTCCGAACGCTCATTTGGCACCATTCCATGATCTTTATGTATTGGATACCATTGGTAGGATAGCGAGACGTTATTTACAACCATCAATACAAGATGTAAACAAGCCAAGGGCTATACATTCTTCGTATTATTATAAACTGTAACATACACAAAGTCAGAACTGCATTTTAACCTGGTATATTAAATAGAGCATTCACGTCAATATGTAGATGTATTAGTTCATCATAGATAATATTTATGATATCCTTCCTCTTAAAACCCCTCATTTTCAAACCCTAAATAGAGTATGCTGCGTATTATTCAATGTGTTAGAAGTAACTTCATCATTTTCTTCCACAACGTGTCTCACACATCGCTGTGAAGTGAATATTAGATAAATCATTAATTATTGTCTCAGTGACAAAGTTGATTGTTCAGCGTCTTGCGGCAGTAAACAATTATCATCGCAATTTCTGAAGACCAACAACGGAATGTTTCAGGTGGTTAATTAGGTTGTCTGTCATGTAAGTGAATATAGCTTGGGGTTAAGCATAGCATATTGAATAATCCATAAGTCACAGGACCACCTTTAGGCACCTATAGTCCCCAAATAGCACAGCAACTGCATAGTAATGGATTGCGCCTTGCTCGATTTCATTTCAAATATCGAAAGCAGCACCTCTAATGAATGTTATCTGATAAAACATCTTATTGATGTATATGCCCAAATAACCTTACCTTTCATGCTGTTGGTCCTGATTGCTGACATTCAACCTTTGTTGAAAAATATGTTTTTTACTTTTCGAATTTATTATGCAAAAAATAAAATGGAAAAAAAAGTGGGAAATTTATTTACTTTTATATTTGTCGACTGTTACGTGCATTTCATGTTACAATGACTTGACAAACAGTACCACACACACTGTGTATTAACCCAATGCATAAGAAATCAATGTGATATACATAACAATTGTATTTTAAAATAAAATTAACAAACATTACAAATTAATACAAATCACTACAAAGGTATTACATCGGCACTAAACATCCGTTGGAAATATATTACAAAACCAGTGATTATGGAAATTAAGATAGAGATTGTTCTATTCGCCTCCTTGCATAATCGGCCAGTTTTCAAAATAGGCTGAGCATTTTGAGTAAGAAATTTCCACGCCATTGTTGGTCTGCGTGTAATTGAGACTAATGTGAAATGAGAAGCATGCGATGGCTCCCCTTATATACCATAGAAAGACACTCCAGAGATTCTCCAGAGATATCGGAAAGACCCATGAGGTTGTAGTACCATGTGGAATCTTCCAAAACTTCCTGCCTAAATATAGCACACGACTGCCCCGAACACACGCACGCACACGCACACGCACACAATTGTATCCGCTTGGAACACTCACACTCCAATCAGAAGTATACGCGTCGGTTATATCCAGCGTCGTATACCACTATAGTTTGTATAGATGACACACCGATATACTTAGACGTCCTTTATAATGCAACTGTAGATATATCCATATCCGGAAGCAGCATTGACGTCAATGACATTAATGGCTCAGCCCTGAGGGATTCGAATCGGTTTCACTCAAGCATCAAGCAACGTTATCGTCAATGGTTTTAATCATTATTGTTATCACCCCAAAGGCTAATGTTGGACAAGGATTGATACGGAGTGATATGAAAGATGAATTGTGTTGACCTTTATATCCTACGCAGAAAGCAGCCAGGGTTGAATCTTCAACTGACCAGTCCAAAGCGTGGGTTGGCTTGTCTTACCATCTAGTGACCTCACTGATTTTCAGTGATCGATTCATAGAATTGTTATCACGAATTTGCCATTATAAAACACGCCCGATGAATGAAGAGGAACACTTTTTATGTATAGACAAATTCTTCATTGCAATAGATGCATCTGTTGCAGTAAAGAACGTGTCTAAAATCTATTTGCAATAAAGACGTTGTCTAGCCTCTATTGCAATAAAGACGTTGTCTATCAATAAAAGGTGTTCCTCTTCACCATACCAGCTTCTAAGTGCCACTTAAAGAAGTAACACGCCCAATGAAGTTACTGTTTCAGGTTATTTTGGTTATCCTAGTGGTGTTGACGTTTTATATTACATTTCACTGCGTATATGAATTGCTTCATGTCATCAAAGAGTGATACGCCTTATCATATCTTAGAAAATCTGTGGTGAATATTGTTGCCTAATGTCAATATGTTTTGACTGTGACCTGTCGTGGTTCTTCTCTAAACGTTCCCTGATTCCAGCCTCAGATATTGACTTCACTCATGCCGGTATACGCCGAGCAGAGTCGTGCGAGAGCGTCGCTTCCGACTCATCTGTCCTCGAGATGCAGCCGGATATGCCAAAAATTGGGCAGCTTGAGTTTGCCCTGGAATACGACAGGTATTTCACTTTTGTAACACACTTTCTCTGTAAATTACAGATTCTGGTACTTTGAGGAATTCCATTCGGGATTTGAATCTATGTTCTCTCAGTAAGGCCAATTTACACTTGCTTAAGATACACAAAGTATGTGTTCCAGGCTACCACTTGTCAGACTTCCATGTTTGTGGAGCCTGAGGTGGCTGAGTGGGTTCGATCGCTGACTTTGTGTGCTGGCGATAATATGCCTTACTCTGAGAGTGTGGGTTCAAATACCGGATGGGACCCAACTCAAATATAGTACTAGAATCTGTACTGTATCCTGAAAGCTTAATCACAAATATATCATGTTGCATTTAACTTTTTAATGGCATTGTGTAGTCCTGGCTAATACAGGTTGTGATTCAAGGTGTTCATTCGAAAGGAGTCATATTCGTTTAGTAACCCTCGTGTGTGTCCATCAACGACAGGCACCACGTTTGTTGCAGTGTCCAACTGGAGCCTCATGTCTAGACATGCATAATTGCAAGGACACTGTTTCCAGTCACATCCACGGGCTACCAAGCTGCTTTTTCCCATCGATTTCTTATAAAAGAGATAAAGTGGGTGGCCAAACGATTGGCAAGTTGATGTAGAAATATCCTTAGTATTAACCCCTGGCACATGTTTCACAATAAGAAAATATCACTGATTACTTACCAGTCATGTAGGCAAAGAGCATAAGCACATTTACAACTGCCGTGATGGAGTTCTAGTCTTGACGTGTGAGTGTGTGCTCTCGACATAAACGTTCTCTCTCAGGCTCGGCAAGCTTCATATTAACCCGATACTGTTTAAGTACTGAGATTGATTGGACATGTTGGCATGAGAAGCTTCTTGTTCGCAAGGTTACACCAGTCGTGCGAGTAATGCTGGAGGGTGAGGCGGAGGGAAACGAGATACATATTAATCACGGATTGCCTGTTTATTCAAAGTATTGGGAACTTGTGCTTGGTTTGAGATGTGCTTGGTTTGGGAAGTCCTGTGTCTGCGAAATGCTTGGTTTGGGAAGTGCTTGGTCTGCAGGGTTCTAATCATTCCATGCCCTGATCATTCCAGTGTGGGTTTGTCTGATTCCCTGAATGTTGCCGTGTGGCTGCAGTACGAGTGAATGAGTGAGTGAGTTGGTAACCCAAACCAAACACCAAAAGTTTGAAATCTCTAAATGAGTGTTATTAATAACGTAAAACATTGCCTTTGCCTTTGAGTGTACAGACAAATTGAGTATCACAAACATAATCATATATATATATTCGTTGGTACATATATCTATAACGTAGAAATTCGCATTTGATCCTGCTTGAGTAATGATAAAACGATGAAGCCACATTGGCAAAAGCCAACACCGACAGCTGCGTCATCATGCTGTGTCTGCGTCAATGCTCGTGACTGCATCTGTCTTGAATACCATGATGCAAGAAACATAATCTAATTCTCCGAATGGTCCCAAGACGATACTTAAAGGCGAGTTAATCAAATTTCCAAGCAGTAACATTATTTCTACATTTGAAAAAAGCTTGTTTTTATTCAGTATTTGATGAAAGTAGCAACAGAATAAAAAAGAAACATTTACATCCGACTTTGCTGATATTTCATGTATATTCACATTAAAAAGGGACAAGTTTTCGACAACGTGCAAGAATATTTCTACAAGTTTCCAAACTGAAAAAACTATCCCCCAACAACAAGTATTCATACGCTGTCTGCGATTTTTTTCCAGAATCAATATCCTTTTTAGCACAATCGCTTTACAGTTATTTCTCAACGTCGATTAACACAATAGAAAATGTAATTGAAGACAACCAATATCCTACCAATATTTTTTAAAGAATTCTTGAAATTGGATTTGATGCCTAAAAAATAAACTTATTGATTAAAGCTCGCTCCAAAAGTCTTACATTACGAGCACAATGATGAAAAACCGTTGCTTACTTTTTCAAATCATCTTTTTCATGTCTGAAGGGAGGTCTCTGAGCTGATTATCAGCATTATCCAGTGCCGGGATCTGGCCGCTAATCAGTACTCTGGCACTCTGGACACATTCATCCGTGGAGTGTTGCTTCCTGACTCTGGAGCAAAGTTCCAGACAAAGGTACGTCTAGCCACTATTTGTTCACAGTTATTAAGCCATTTGTTGACGGTAAGTAGCTGCTGTGTTTACCACTAACTGTGGGTTCGTGAAGATTAGCAAAGCCCCAGAGGGCAAGATGATTCTTATCAACCAGCAGAATTCGTATGTTCTCGTTCTTCAAACACAGTCGTAAATTTCGCTCTACCTTTGGCGATTGTCTTTTGTGGGTATTTTAGGAAAATTAGACAAGAACACTTTGAAATCAGAAATTTTACATCGTGGACATGACATGTGTTGTTCTGTTCTTTGTACACGTGCGCCAAGCCCCGTTGTGAGTTCATTGGTAATTTCATATATTTCATTATCAATATCACGTGTGTTTCTATTACCTGTTGACATGGGTAATGTGAATATCGGAATTGTTACAAGCAACATTATGTAAATAAAAGCGACCAAACCATCAACAAACCTTTTAAAGACACATCTGTTTTGAAAGCATACTCGGCTTTAAGCTTCATGAGATGTGTTTATAAATCACTATTGCACTTTGATGATACCAGATGTTTGCGAAGAGCTAAGGGTATCCTGCTTTACAAAAGACACTCGTCCCAAAATAACATCATAAACACATGTATTGATTATCCAAGTATTTGAAATATTGATGTTAGATGGTTGCATAAGCAGAAGAATCTATGCTGGTCCATTGTACGAGTCCGCCTTTATCACACAGCAACTGTTCAGTGTCGGTTCCCAAGCTAAACCAAAGGTCTATTCCTGACAGAATTCGGCGAAAACCTAAGAAACAACAAAGAAATGAGATGTGATATGTATTCTGTAATAAACTAACTTTACACATCACTACAAATCCCTACAATGGAATTACAACGGCAGTGCAAAATATAGTGGCAGTACAAATTCAATGGCAGTACAAAAACATTGGCAGTATCATATAAAAGCAGTGATTACAGTGATTATAACAATACAAACATTGATAAGATTCACCCTGATGGAAAATGTTGTCTAGCTTCCAACACAGGCCTAGGCTGCCAACCCAGGTTGAAAAGTGATCTCCACACAACTGCTGGTCTTCTTGTAATGTGAGATGACCGAGTCAAGATCGTGCTCTTTGTTTGATCGGCACTCTAGAAGTTAGTGAGTCAACAAATGAAACATACAACTTTATGGATGACAACTTCTGGTTTGTTCTGGCTTCATCACTAGTGATATGTGTTGTTAGTTCCCTACTGGCCTCTTCCAATTATGGGGGCGGTGGGGTAGCCAATTATGTACCACGGGTTTGTTATTTCTATTACATGCTGTTGTTAATGTTAATCTGCTGCTTGTCACAACATACCATGTATATATGCTCCTCACCATTTGGTTGTACTCACTTTTAGCTTGATAACGATGTAAGAATCTAACGTAGCTCTAACGCAAATAGAACAGAAGTTGTCATCCATAAAGTTGTATGTTTCATTTGAAGATCGTGCTCATTTTAAACATACAAAGCTTCCAGAAGTTTCTGTTTCGGAACTTTCTCTACCTCTCTGGATCCAACTACACAGGGTCATTCCGGATGTTCTAGATCCTCTCAGACCAGTGTTACTCCCGGTGATACTCCCAGTCTAAATATAGCAACCAATACACCAATGGTCTCCACAGATTCGTTACATGAACAATGTAGCTCAATTACAACACTGGACCCCGTTTCACAAAGCTCTCGTAAGCGTAAGATCTCGTTACTTTTCTCGTAGCATTCGTACTTACTATGCTACGAGAAGTAACTTTTCTCGTAGCACTTGTACTTCCAATGCTACGAGAAGTTATGAGATCTTACGCTTACGAGAGCTTTGTGAAACAGGACCCTGTTCCACATTGCATAATAGTGCTTTATAAAGAAACGTTCTGTCGGAAGTCGATGCACAAACGATGACAAGTTTATTAGTATTGAACGATGCAGTTTCGATCCCCGGTGCTCACCTGTTTCTCGAAATAGAAATAAATAAATCACTTAAGTGCCAAAGCAAACAAAAAAGTATTTAAAAACACATAATTCAGTTAATACATTTATCGCAATGCTGGGTGTTTCGTGGGTTCAAATCTCCGTTTCGTTCCGATCATGATAGCTGGTTTATCAGCCTGTGTGTTTCATCAAACTGAATTGATATCTGTCTTTGACCCAAATCACCGTGGCCCCTATGCTACATCTGTCCGACACGCCATGACATCACTGGAACACAGTTGGATGCAGCACACAGCCCACCCACCATCATCGACACTATTGTTCAGAAGGGCTGCAGTTCGCTTACACATACTACCCATCAATAGTTTAGATTCACTAGTGTAAATGTAGCCACTTTCTACAGTCAACTGTTCTAAACTAGATTTTGCAAAATATTCCATGCTGTTTAAAGGTACTGTTTACACATGAACTGATGTATTGTAAAACAAATTCGTAACGTTGAAAAGATTATTGTCATGAGTTCAATAAATGATGAAACTCAGTGAAAATTGGCGAATTTTTAACAAACCTTTACACCAAAACACAGCTGTTCACATGTACGATATTTGCACATGCTTTTCAGCAATTTGATGCATGATCCTCATGCAATTCATCTGCATAAGGTTTGCAGTTGGTTCCCCAAGTTAGGGGAGAAATTCATCTTCGATGGAACCACACATATATACATAACATATAGTGAGTGCTTTAAGTGAGTCTAAACTTTTGATGGGTAGTATAGTTCCATTCAGTATCAATGAACAGGCTCTCCTGTGCTGTCGATTCCCAGAACCTCTCAGTTACCATGGCAATGCCCGTAGGTTCCGCCAATATTTAATAGATCAAAGATCTAATTGTCATAAGACTTACAGCTTTCATATTTACTGGAGATGTTGATGTTATGTTTTTTTGCGGGGAATTTGATGATGCGCATTGTATCCACGGTTCCTGACTATGACAAGTATTCCAACTTACAGAAACATCAACTTCATAGAAAAAATACCATGCATTTATGCATATCCATCTCCTGACGGGAAAGTGTTCATACGATGAATTGGAAATATATTCATGTTTCTCGGAAAAGAGATCTCATGAATACACACAGAAGTATACTGCTTAAAATCAATTACAGAAAACCCTATGTGCTCATGACTACTGTTAATGTGGCATATGAAAAGGGCGGGTGTGCTCTAACCTAGGAGTAATACATCAGATGAACTTCAAAGAAGCAATGATGAAATGGTGGATTGAGTAATACAGTAGATCATCTATGTCAAAGGAGTAATGATCAAATGGTGGATTGAGTAATACAGTAGATTATCTATGTCAAAGAAACAATGATCAAATGGTGGATTGAGTAACACAGTAGATCATCTATGTCAAAGAAGCAATGATCAAATGGTGGGTTGAGTAATACAGTAGATTATCTATGTCAAAGAAGCAATGAGCAAATGATGGATTTAGTAACACAGTACATGATCTACGTCAATGAAGCAATGATCAAATGATCGATTTAGTAACACAGTAGATAATGTATGTCAATGAAGCAATGATCAAATGATGGATTTAGTAACACAGTAGATTATTTATGTCAAAGAACCAATGATCAAATGATGGATTTAGTAACACAGTGATAATGTATGTTGATGATGGATTTAGTAACACAGTAGATTATCTACGTCAAAGAAGCAATGATCAAATGGTGGGTTGAGTAATACAGTAGATTATCTACGTCAAAGAAACAATGATCAAATGGTGGGTTGAGTAATGCAGTAGATTATCTATGTCAAAGAAACAATGAGCAAATGGTGGATTGAGTAATACAACAGATTTTCTGCGACAAATGAAGGAATGAGCGAATAGTGGAGTAGTTTCATCAGGAATCTAAACGTTATAGAAACTGTGCTATTTTCCGTAAATGCCTACATTGTAAACCTGGGGCCTGAAACTCATGGCTAGATTCGTTGGACAACCTATACGGTAATGATAAAAGTAAGTTGGAGGAAAACGGTAACTGATTTTACGATTAAAATATACATATAAACCAATTAAGCACGCTATCAGGCTTATTATATAATAGTGAATAGGAAACAACATTTAAGAATTTAACATGAAATTTCTTTCAATTAATTATTAGAGTTTCTTTGAACCAATGGTAAACATTTAAAAAATATTTTCATAAACTGAGCCATATTCATAAACACGTTTCCTCGGATTAACGTACATGGTCGACGCCTTCTTGTCAATTCGTCGTTTTGTATTATCATGTTGATGCATGACACCTGAGCTCTGGTCATAGTCTGTCTCACCGTCCTTGACCAACTGTATTTTCCTTTTAGTTCGGCTCTTTCTGCAATGCAAAACCCTAACTTAAGCAAGTATCGATTTTCTCAAGCTCATTTTGGGTCCTTTTTCATTTTATTTGCAGTTATTTGTTTCTATTTAAATTATACATTTTCATAAGTTGTTGGTCTATACCGATCACAATGAACTGTCATACATGTTATTGGTTTTAGAAATAATATGGATCAGTGCTGTAAATAAATATATCCAGGTACATGTAATGCAACACGCTGTAGTGGGTGTTGAGATGACGAAAGAAGAGTACTGATGGCCATCGTGAAGAAGTATCATAGTAACACGAAACTAATGATGTGACAAAATCATCTTTTTGTTTTTTGATTTGGCACACAGATATATACTCAACCTAATGAGAAACTTGACTCCCACATTATTGGTTGTAATTGTCGAGGCTGTGTGTGTGTGTGTGTGTGTGTGTGCGTGCGTGCGTGCGTGCGTGCGTGTACGTGTACGTGTGTGTATGCTTGTGCGTACGTGCATGCATGTATGTCTCTGTGTGTGTTAATTCTAGTTGCATTCCTTGTTTCAATATGGTCTCGGCGATCGACATGAAAAACGTGGTCAGGGTAAACGAAGTGTGAAACAACAATCCCATGCGGCGTGTCACATAAACACTTTCGCGATCGCAGGTGCATTGGAATATAAGAACACAGACAAACGCATCAGACTTGCAAGTTTAAATCATGCGAGTATGCCGCTGCACACAAATTGGTAACGTGATCATGCCATGGTTAGGCTTTCTGCTGGAAAATCCGTTCCATGAGCCCTCTGCTCTAGTCGTCGGACAATACACAATCTAAGGATCCGTGTGCATGAGGTGGGAACCGTTGCAAATCGCCCAAGGCAAAGAGAAAATACACATCAGATTGCGTTATCTGCGCAACAGATTTCTGACTGCAACCTCCACTAGCTGACAGTTAAGTCAGAGTGGCAGCACAGGCAATCAGGAATCGAATGCAACCATCCTGACGTTTACGATGGGTCCGTAAACATGACAGATTGAACCAGAGGCTGTGGCTGTCTTCAGTCACAACTTCCGCGTCATATTGCTCCTTTTCGATGGTAGGTTAGATGTGTGGAAGGCAGGATATCTCGCACATTGTTGAGTTCGTGAGGTTGTCCCACTTAGAGCGGGCAGCGAATGGTTTGGGAAGCTTCTTGTGCCAACTGATTGTCGTCCAGACGAGTCTCACTTAGGTACAGTATTGGGACCAAGTTTTGACCCCCGTCCTACTGCCAATTATGCAGCTACATGGCCCTGAACTGACATTTCAACATGACAACGCCACCCTCCATACCTTGCAGATTCTTGCGTAACGCCGGTGTTCATGCCATTAAGTGACCTTCCGGCAGCCCGGAGGTCACACTCATTATGAACTTCTTCCGTTCCAACCGTTGTATCAGTGGGAAGTTCGGGTTGGGATCAAGGGCCATCATGCATCATTCTTCCACATTACATTGTCTGTACTGTTACCTCGATGGTACCAGTATAATCTGCCATCAATACACATCTGTTTTCATAAGAATGCACACACTACTTCGTGGTGTGATTTAATTAACAAGTGTCAAGTTTCTAATTTGGTTGCGTATAACTACAACTGGTAACGTGGTGCCGAAGTTGTCAACCTTCGAGGTGCAGATGGTTATAAAAAAGAACATTCGTTTCTCTGCTGACTAATTGGTTAAACCTGTTCGCCGTTAGCTACTAGGAACAGCGACAAAACATCCATAATTGGAATAAATATCCACTACAAGCAAAGTCTATTTACTATTCCCACTCTATCATAAACATGCGTTTATGAAAGGGTGAGACATCCTTCCCAGCGATAGTATTCGTCACTTCCAGGGGCAGCTGTTCTAAACACATGCAAAGTCAATCCAATTGTTCATCTGAGAAACCATGCGTCTTCTTGTCTGTTTCCTGCTTATCGTCTCCCCAGATTTATGGCTGAGGAAGTCCAGCTTGTTGCCAAGTGTTTCCCCCTATATTTCAGATTACTTTTTGTTTCATTTTTGATAACATGTCCTAAACGTCTGTATCTATGGTTACCGCGTTATGCACGCCTGTGTCAGCGTATCATTATTTTGGATAAAGTCGTGATGTCACTTTTTCCTCCCTTTACGGTCATAACATGTTTATGAGTTTGCCACAAACACACTGAGTCAGTACTAAATTTTACAATACCGTGAAGTCACAGCGACAATAACGGCTAAGTACCAAATAAAATCCCCAGTCATGAAGCATCTTACGCTAATCAATCCAATACAGTAAGGAACTGCGTATAATACGCTCCAGATTCCAATGTTTGTCTCTTTGTTATTATGGAAATAGAAATCGTGAAATGCCATATCAATGTACAATAAACAGCATCGTAAAAGATGCAAATTATTTCTAAAGTATCACTCTGACACGACGAAAACAGAATAGACGTTAACAGAGCTCAGATCGATATGGTCTTTATTTCCTTCCATATCTGAAGAGTTACCGCTCTAAAATGGACCCATTTGTCAGTGGAAAGAAATTTGTAGTAATCAATAGGCGCACGATGGACACGGCGATAGACGCGTTGTTTGGCTGTGATACGAAGCAGGTAAACCCGACTGTCGGTTAAGCTGATTGAAAGACGGGGCCTAAGTGTGATTTGAATACATTGTTCCACATTGAATAACAATAACAGTCATTCTGTTAGTTAGTTTCATAAAGCGCGGTTTTCCTTCTCTGGTGTTCTTGTGATCTGACATGCTGTACAATATTTTATCAAATTTTTTCCTCTTGTTCACTGGTGAGGTTTTCCTTAAATACATATTAGAGAGAGGAATCCCCACAATGGCATAAATGCTTTGAATCGTAAAGATCATCGTAATCAGTTTCTTGTGAACTGGTTTTATTAAATTGTTGAAAATAATATATTGTACACTTGAATGCCTTCCTCGTCGGGAGACGGAGACAATAGACCTAGAGCATGTTCTAGTCGTGTGAGTGAGAGAGTGAGTTTATTTTTATGCCTCTCTTAGTAATATTCCAAAAATATCACGGCGGTGGACATCACTGGTTTCAGTCAAGCCACTGTAATATGATTAAACACATCACCAAAACTATCATGCATACACGGTTGATGTTAAAAACTGTATTTGCAGTGATGAATGACTGCTTAATAACATAATAACACTTTTTCGATATCGTGTCCAATTCCACGTTATGTTTATTGGTCAATGTAAAGTTCAAACAAACACAATGTGTTCTGTTCTGATGGTCTATACACATATGGAAAGGTCAGAAAAACAACATCAAATACAATTTTATGCTGAGTAAACATCTGCTCAATCTGTTTCAGACCATTAAACACTCTACAGATCCAGTGTACAAGGAGCGCTATCTGTTTACCATAGAACCGGAACATCTGGACAGAAGGATGCTCCAGTTCCAGGTGTATGCTGTGGACAAATATGCCCGCCAGAAGGTGATAGGAGAGGCAGATATCCGAGTTGGGGACGTTGACCTCAATATGCCTATCAAGATGTGGCTCAATCTCAGAGATATTGCTGAAGAGGTTAGCAAATACCACGTCCGCTGATATTCATGTTCTGTTGATCCAGTTGATAAGGTCGTTGTTGAGTGTTTACATTTTCAATAGTTTGTTCTGATGCTCCAAGTTAAAGAAAGAAAAGAATCTGATAATCTTCGTCTCTTGTCGTACTCGATTAAAGAGGGCATTGTGTTTCCTTTGTCAGAAAAATCCTGGGCACATTTGGCCGATTCGTTTCGGAAGTGACGTCACAAGTCCATGGCTCCTATCTGTTACCTGCTCATTAGAGCAAATTTGATTGGATTCTATCTTTATTGTCGAGCTCTACAAATAGGGTTCAGTTCGAATCTATGGCAGCGTGTGAGCCCACGGAATTCATCGTAACATAACAGAGCTTTAACATGTGTAATATATAATGGTATTTTGTTTGAGAAGGTATCCAGAGTGATGCACCAGAGTTGGCAAAATATTGTTCCAATAAACTGACAAAATAACATACCAAATGTGAAGATGATAATATACTACTCCACTTATAGGTGATATTTTCTGTCACGATTCTCATTATATGCCAAGCCTATGTCTATTTGGAATGAGATTTGTTTGTGCAAAGCGAAAGAAAAGAACAAACCCCCCAAACAAGATAATATATGATTTCTGAGATAGGACAGTATTGTGTGGATTGGGCTATTGCGCTCATGTAATATGTCTTTACATTTCATGTTTTTTGTTTTACGAATCTGGCCACATTAACATTCATTATTATGGAATATTTTCAAAATGTGTCTTTTACCTGTACTTTACCGATATATATGATGTTTTGGTTATCATCTGAAGCAAACGTATTTTATTTTCCCATTATCCTAGACCGCATTGTTTTGCCTAAAAATTCCGCTGCCTTCGTGTTCACGAAATATATCCTACGTTCTATATTCCACTAGAAACCAACTGAGTATGGCGATATCCTGTTCTCGCTGAGCTACCTTCCAACAGCCGAGCGGTTGACCATTGTGATAGTAAAGGCCAGGAACCTCAAGTGGAGGGAACACAAGGACAGCGGAGGTGAGACCACTTGACCTCTCAGTATCAGTCACCAGGACATTGTACAGGAATGGTCGTTTGAAACCGGAACTTGATACATCAGCCAAGGTCACATTATGCCTGTACATACCAGTCTTTCATTTACAATGTCTTCTATCGAATATACAGTATGGTATAAGCTGCTGAAAATGATATTTCCGACCATTTAAAAATTCACTTTATTGCACAAAAATTTAAGGAAACACACAATGCCTTTTAAGTTGTATGTACAATGAGGTTTCTCATGGCAATCTCTGTCTACGCGTTCTTAGTTTCGACATTTGCATAAAACACCTACATGCACAGGTGAAGAAAAATCTCACCATGTTCGGTGTAGGTTAATACAATTCAGTTCAATCAAGGAATTATTATTAGATAAGATATTTAATATCGCGATTGTCATGTTCGAGGTTTGATCTCATGAAAAATACTAAATCGATGCTAGAAGTAAAGAAGATTGTCGGGATTTGAATCCAATTTGACAAACGTTTTTCAGTCAAATTGTGGCACACACACATTCGTAGCCTATCTGCTTTAATCTACATATACAAACAGGTATAAAGAATATACGTAAACGTGTGTGTAAAACTTGACAATCTAAAGTCAGGTTTTCATCGAGGATGTTTCACAATGAAGCGAATTAAAAATACGGATATCTGAACGAAGTTTATCACTATCTCATAAAGATTATCATTAACAAATACAAACGTAAAGGATATTCTGTAACATAAAGGTATTCGTTGATAAATCTGGCATGGTGAGTGTCATGTGAGAGAGAGTATGATGCGTATAGCATATGCGTTATATATTGCGCATATATTGTATGATATACATCATATATTGAATATTGCCTTCATTACATGGTGTCTGCGTTCTTGACATGTGGGCTAGATTTATACCAGTCTCCACGTTCTAAAAATTACGTTATAGACATGAGGAGATTTCTTTAGGAATGAGACTCTCCCTCACAATGATTAACATAGGACACGCGTACAAAACACGACAAGTTATTAATATAAACACGATTAATGTATATATTTGTCTCATATAATGAAATCATACGTCAAGGGTGTGTATATCTAAACTGTGTCAGTGGAACATCAGACACGATGGAAACAAGGACGGAGACTATAATAGACGACTCTACGATCATCTGTTGCTGTCTACGTCCAAGGTTAACCTATGTCTGAATAAAAGAGGGCAATCGTAGAACTGAGATCAGTTTATGGAAAGAACCCTGTGTCTCTTTCAATTTTGTCTATTATCAGTATTCATATTTATCTATGACTACATGACATTCTTAGAACACTAAACTTTTAACATTTAACTATTTATGCATTCAGATTTGTCTATGACTAGATGACACTCTTCGAACACTAAACTTTTAACATTTAACCATTTATGTATTCATATTTGTCTATGACTAGATGACACTCTTCTAACCCTAAACTTTTAACATTTAACCATTTATGTATTCAGATTTGTCTTTGATTAAATGACACTTTTAAAACACTAAACCTTTAACATTCAACCTATATGTATCGGAGCTACTTCTCTCTTGGGAAAATGTTTCATTAAATTCTTTATATTTCAGATCCTTTTGTGAAGGTATACCTGATGCAGAATGGCAAGAAGATCTCGAAGAAGAAGACGACTGTGAAACGAGGAGAGAAGAACCCTATATTCAACGAGGCCATGATCTTCTCTGTACCTTCCACAGCTTTACCCGTCAGTATCTGCCTTCTCAGGCCCACAATTTACCTCGCGACGCCATCATAGTTTCCAAATATCAGACATAAATGCTGCACTTCTGCAGAATTATTCATATTACTTCACAGCACTTTGCCACAAAATATCGATTACCAGCGTAAATGTTTTTTCAATTGCATGAACTTTAAAATATAAAAAAATATGATACCATTATGAACACTTGATGTTTCATGCATTGGCTGCGTTCTCCGCGTAAATGGCATTTCACTGTGAATTGGATTTGGTTTGGTTGTTGTCCTAATTAAATAACGTTTCTTTTGTTTTAATTAAATAATCATTCGATTCGATTATCATGAATAATAAGTTTCGAATGTATATTCAGTCTATATCATGGGACCAATATAATCCGTCTTTATGTGTGTATCGACTTAGGCATTAGAACTCGAATGAAGAAAGAACAATTCAACCACTAGACTATTCCAGGCCCATTGCTTTAGTGGCTTACGTGAGGGGTCGACCACAGCCCTAGTGTCTTTGCGAGAATTAAAGATGTTAAAGAAACAAAACGTTTGGGATGACCCCCGACTCGAAATGCCTCACAGTACAATACAATACATAATGTATTGTACTGTGTAGCAATTCGAGTTGGGGGTCATCTCAAAAAAATATTTTTTTAATTGTTAATCTTTGCAAAGACACGAGGGCCTGTGGGGTCGACATCTGAAAGAGAAACGTGTTTTTTTATTCTAAAACAAATATTAAATTAACAAGTTCTCGGTGTTCATGAAGTGTACGAAACGTCAATGGCGCTGCCTTAGCATTGCAGACGTGCGTCCTTATATTTACGCCGTGTTCTTATCCCAGATTCTAGGGTACGTTTCTAGGTTTCTCGGAACCATACCCGTGCTCGTAGGTTTCACCAAAGTCAAAAACTGTTTGTTTTTGTTTTTTTAACTACAGCTGCAAAACCAGACATTTTAAGATAAACAAATATGAATCTATGTTTCTTTTCAAAAGCACCTTACATCAACATAAAAGTAATTTTTCTGGCTGATAAATTGTCACCTTTTCGCGAACACCTGGTGTTATAACTATTTCAAAGTGATTCATAAACACATGCTCGCATTGTGACAATCACTGGATTGTCTGGTCCAGACTCGATTTGTTTACAAACATCATACAGTTGTAATACTGCTGGAACGTATACATGCTCACAAATAGTCACAATTGTACAATCGGCTAGAGATGTCTTATGAATGTGGAAAGGGTTTTCTCGCTTCTGTGTCAATGGCCTTCAACCCAATTACTGTTTTCATGTATTTTCTGGGGCAGACTGTTTCGATAAAGTCTCAGCTCCAGCCCAACCGCTAACCTTCAGCAACCAACTATGTTGTATGGCGCTCATTGAAACAATTCACAAGATCACTCGTTGAAAGAGGAAACCCGTGCAGACTGGGAATATGTCTTCAGCAAACCATGCTTGTTGTAACAGGCGACTATCGGGATCGGGAGGCGAGGATCGCTGACTGGGTTGATGCATGTTATCGTACCTCACGATATCAGTCACTGGTTTATCTGGTCCAGATTCGATTATTTAAGACCGCCGCGAGATAGCTAGATTATATATCCGCCTCTCAGCACAATTCCAGCAATATAGCAGCGGTCTGTAAACAATCGAGTCTGGAAAATACAATCCAGTGATCAACAGCATGAACATCGATCTACGCAATTGGGATACGATGACGTGTCAACCAAGTCAGTGAGTCTGACAACCCAATCGCGTTAGTAGCCCCAAGACAAACATGGGTTGCTGAAGATCAGTTCTAACCGGGATATTCACGGGATCACATAGCTGGGAATTACTGAGCGCGGCGTTAAACAACAAATAAGAAACACTTTGAAAGAAGACATGCCTCGCTGGTTATGAAAATAGTTGTACAACATGGCACGCACAATATATATATATTAATATATTGAACACTGTTTTTTGTTCCAGACTGTCCAGCTCCGAATAACTGTCGCAGAGTTCCTTCCAGACAATCGAACGCCATCATTAGGTCACGTGATCGTTGGCGCAAACACTTCAGGAACGGAATTATCCCACTGGAATCAAATGATGACGTCACTACGGAAACCTGTGGCAATGTGGCACTATCTAAGGAAATAAAGCGTCGTGACATTTACTTACTGGATGATCAAATATGAATGGATTACTCAAGAGGACTAACGTGTAAAGAGTGGTTGGCAAATGGCGTCAGGTTAGGTGACAACTAAGCAGCGGAGGTGAGAAAAGCATTGCGCAAGAAAGTCCCGAGACACGCTAGACGATGGGCGTGGCACCTGATGCAGGGGAGCAGATGTTGACAGGCTGTCAATGTACGTCATACATTGAAATATATCTGAATACATTTCACAGCCACCAGGAATTGACATTAAACTAATGCCATATATTTCCCAAAATGTTTAATTTGTTAGAAGTGAAATCAAAATTAGATCATACAGTGATCAAAGTAGAGATTTGTTATTAATTGCTTTATTTTATTGATGGGGTCGGAGATTTGGGGAGGTGTCCTAGCTTCTTGTCCTAGCGTCCTAGTCAATGATTAAATCGAGCACTCTCAGTTGAAAATATAGATGCTACATGCTATAGTTAGTATTAAGAAGCTAGGAAGTACTACTATACCTAAAACAACCACCATTTCCTTATCCTGTTTGTGATATTTTATTGGGTTAAAGCCAGAAGATGCTCCACAATAGGTTTTTTCATAATAATGTCGCTGCTGACACCGGTTTGATTATTCAAACTGAATAAGATACCATCAGTGAAATGAGATGTAACTGACATAGTATTACAAACGATATTAAATAAATAAAAACGACAACACTAATTATTATTACGAAATGATAACAAGAGCAGTATTTCAAGAAAACAGAATTGGAATAACAATTGCTAATACTAAATGAAATTCAGCAGTGTATGAAAAATATTCTGCTCCCCTCAATAAGTATATACTATCTTACAAAAGAAAGTATATACCCATGTCTGTTAATGACTAATACTGAAAACAAATTATAGAGTTGGTTGTTTAGTGGCTATAAGGATTTAGTCGTGGTTTTAGTTCGCGATGTTTCGGCCTAATAACGTGTTCAATTTTGAGTGGAAGTGAATACTGTGGTTTGCCATCCAGTATATTGTCATAGAAAGAGGAACAAATAAAGATTTCACCAAGATTTCACCAAGATTTCATACTGTTATTTCGAAATTACCATCGCATAATGGAAATATTGTTGATGTAAGCGAAATACAAACAAATACAATTTTTTCTAGTTTACCACGTTTCACGGGATCAGGTGGGATCAATACACAATAATAGACATACTTGAATGATTTGCTTATGAAGTATCGGCAACAGTCAATCTGGTCGCGTTTTATCTTACGTAATACACGGTTTGTACGGTGCTTGTAGAAATCTCGGTTCACCGTTGCGCTACCGCCAGTTCAAAGGGAGCTAACCACTCCCCTGTCATACCCTTGAAGTTATTCGTCATTGAAGTCCTTTATTATCATTAATATTTGCAATGTATTGTATTTGAAGCACATATGCTTTATTGTTTTCAACGTCTGAGAGTTTATATAACAAACCTCTTGGTTTTGTTCACTTGTTAGACTATTGTTTTGTTGGCAATTCTTGTGATAGACGATTTGCAGTTACCTGTTGTCAGTTTCCTTCCTTACCCAATATTGTAAAGCAGTTGAATGTACATTCACGTGTGATACTCTATAATTATTCTCAAATATATATGTATATAAGATAACCACAAAGTTATTTTTGTTACCATTTAATGCATATATATGTACGTATCAAGTTGAAATACGTTATAGATGCTATGGGACTTATTTTTGCTCAATCAAAAAGTGATTCAAACTGCTATGCCTTTGCCAGATAGGATATACTCAATCTATCTAAGACAGCTCACACAAGAAATCATATTACAAATAATCGTATTCAAAATATTTGTTTAGTATTCTTCGTCAAAATCTGAATATAATATGTACGTGCTGTATTATAAACTACGGTATTGAGTGATTGTTCGTGACGATGTTTGGACCAAATTGATTTTGACCCGACTTTGAAGGATTTGCCCCCAAATTGACGTTAAACAGTAGAACCGCAGTATCTGCAGCCCCAGCACCAGAGAAATAGTTCGACGTATCCGTGTTTCGACACATCAGACTCGACCTTATAACCGCCTGAGGAGTAGAAGTTCGACACATCAGACTCGACCTTATAACTGTCTGAGGAGTAGACGTTCGACACATCAGACTCGACCTTATAACCGTCTGAGGGGTAGAAGTTCGACACATCAGACTCGACCTTATAACCGTCTGAGGACTAGAAGTTTCTACTGATGTGTGTTTGTTTATATTCTACTCACAACTTTGCTACGGATACTGACTGAACTTCATTCACTCTGCCAGTAAATATATAAACTGAGGGGCAAAAGAAAGTATACCTCCAGGATTGTGTCTTAAAAAGAAACAAAAAGAAATAATAGTGATGTCTTTGATACGGGTAGCAGAGTTTGCGGTTCTTCGGCCACTGCTCAGCCTGGTAACGTTTTGATTACATTTGTAACTTTTTGGCCAGATCCAATTATCAAGTGTGTTCTCTCTTTTTCCAAACAGTTTAGTTTTCATGATATATAGGGGATAATTTGTAGACGCTTTTATCACATATCATGTAGACGTTCAGATATTGAGCACTGTTGAAACCACCCATTCTTTCATACACATTTAATATTCTCAATCAGATGAATTTAACATAGATTCTCTACCTATTATAATAGCATATTTGGATAGAATATGTATTTACAATATTTTATTAATCCGTTTCTATATTTATACTGCAATGCTTTATCTACCTAGTCAACTTTAGTATATGTGTGATACAAGGTGAAATATACTGTTCCAATGATACTTCCTACTTTCATGTAAGTTGTTGAAAGGGAGACAAACAGGTGTATCACGTGAAACATATTTGCAAGAAGTCGCAATACTGTTGAAAGTATTAATGTAACCTTTATACTTATACGTCAATTTGAAAATTGTGAGTTATATTACCACTGACAGACAATCACATACAGGTTCAAATTCGAACAAGGTATGTGTATATTTAACGAGCATGGCAGACGCACGTGGATGCCAGTGGTGACTGTCTGCTCAGATTGACACACGTGTCAAATATAACTGAAATGTGGAGGATGCATGTTTCCCATCCTAATGCTCACGTGGTATCATGTTTACCTCTCCTATGTTTACAACTCATGTTTGTTTCCCTGTCTCTGTTTGTATTGATCTCCCATTTATGTATATACAGTGTGAAATAAAACAAGGATATGGACCATTTTGTGTTTTTTATTGCAATTTGTCATATGTTCTGTCTGATTGCAGAATTATATTCTGTATGGGGACGACAGGACTAGTCGTATTGAGCAGGTTTACGGTCTAGCATCTCATTCCATCGTTACGGTCACCAATTAGGACAAATCTAGGTAGCTGCACACGATCCTCTGCGTCTGTCAACAAAGGGAGGCAACTCTTCAGGGTCTTACACCATGTATCTTACCGTGCCTCTTTCAAAGATTTTTCTTCATATAATTTTTTATTTTTGATTCTCCATACATCCAGGTCATACAGTTCATTACATAACGGGTTGGTATAAACACGATTCTTAAATATATACCAAGTCGACTTACAGGCAAATGTGCATTCAGGTGGAAATGAATAGGTACTTGGAAATATAATAGCAGTACATTATATATAGCGCTAGGTTAACAGAACAGATTGTGACATAGTGACCAAACTTTTGTGAAGCTGTCATATTTGCAATTTGAATAGGCATTAAAACGTTCAGTATAATATGTTGTCTTTACGTCTTCTATAATGTAGTTCAAATTTGGTGTCTTATCTCTTTGTTTCATTTTGTATATATAAACTCTGTCAAAAAAAGAAACGCAACCCCTGTATTTTAGAGATTTTGATCTGAAGTTTTAAGACGACACAGCATTTTTATTATTTAAGACAGAAGTCTGAAATTTGGCAGAATAATAACCAAGATGGGCATGTTTAAAATTGTCATTTCAAAAGTCATCTCACAGACACCAGTTTGTCACCAGGGGGGGCGTCTTTCTCAGTATCTCGTATGAGCACCACGAGCTGCAATCACTGCACGGCATCTCCTTGGACAAGAACGGATAAGACGCCGGATTCTTTCCTGGGGAATGGCTCTCCACTCCTCCTGCAGTGCAACGCCGAGCTGTTGCAGCGTCTGTGGCGGCGGCTGACGTTGACGTACGCGTCGACCCAGAGTATCCCACAGGTGTTCAATAGGGTTGAGGTCTGGTGATTTAGAGGGCTATGGCAAGACATTGACGTTGGAATTCTGCAGAAAGTTCATTGTTGCACGTGCAGTATGAGGCCGGGCGTTGTCTGGTTGAAAAATCTGTGTCTGTTGGTCAATAATCGGGAGAAGGTGAGGCTGTAATACGTGGTTGATGTAACGTTGGGCTGTCAGGTTCCCTTCAACGATCACCAAGTCTGATTTCTGGTTGTATGAGATGGATCCCCAAACCATAACGCTTTCTCCGCCAAATCTGTCCCCCTGTCGGACGCAGATGGGCGCAAAACGTTCATGACGTCTCCTATACACACGTTTTCTTCCGTCGTGATGTTGCAAAAGAAAACGGGATTCATCAGAAAACCAGATGCGCCTCCAGTTTTGTAAAGTCCATATCCTTACGTTGTTGCACCACCTGAGTCGTCGGCGGAGATGTAGGGGGCGTAGTACAGGTCCAACAACTGGTCTACAGGCACGTAAACCCGCTTCTTTCAGACGGTTCCTAATCGTTTGAGCTGACACTCTCCTCAAACCTGGTATTTGTGTGGCAGTCACGGTTGGTAGGGCATGCCGATTACGCAGGTGATGGACCCGGATGTACCGATCTTGAAGGGGGGGTCGTGATTCTTGGCCTTCCACTTCTCGGGCGATCGTTGGTCAAATTGAAGTTGTTGTAGCGGCTCCAAAGTCGGGATATCGTTGTTTTGTGAACATTTAGGTGCCGTGCAACAGTTCCAAAACTTTCTCCGGCTTGAACACGACCAATGGCGATATTTCGGTCGGCAGCACTCAATCGTGGCATTTTTCACACAGCTTTTCATGCGACAAATGAATGAATATAATACGAAAGCACATGGGCTTTTATACACCCCTACATTAACTGCCATTTTCATGATTTGCATGTGTTTTTTTTGTGCGAAGTCACCATGAGGGTCATTTCATGCGTTGTGACGGAATAAGCAATAAAATACACTTATGCGTACAAATGCAGTTGTTTGGATGGTAATCTTCATTAATTACGTGTATAATTTCAATACATTCGAATAACATTTAGTTTGGAAGCAATAACTTCATTCAAACGAATTTTTCATATCTGAGGACAGGGGTTGCGTTTCTTTTTTGACAGAGTTTATTATATTTCACTACTGTTATTATCAAATTCAGAGCATGGTTTCCCTATTCACAATATCCTAGAATAATATTTTTCTTTGAAAGGATAATATATGACCCTGTTTTTTCGAATATCCATTCTTCTATTTTCTCTATTTCTTTCAAAGATGGGGCGGTGGGGTAGCCTAGTGGTTAAAGCGTTGGCTCGTCACGCCGAAGACCCGGGTTCGAATCCCCACATGGGTACAATGTGTGAAGCCCATTTCTGGTGTCCCCCGCCGTGATATTGCTGGAATATTGCTAAAAGCGGCGTAAAACCAAACTCAATCAGTCAGTCAGTCTTTCAAAGATATCCACAGGATCACGGCTGAGGTCATGCCTAGTCGAGGTCAGCTCAGTTTGCATGGACCTTGTTGGACCTTCCTGTCCCGAGGTAGTCGTTCTCACAGCCCTTGAACCGCATTATTTTCCCTTCTGCAATGTTAAGCCCTAAATGAATCAAGTCTAGATTTCCTCAGGTTTCGGAACCTCCGAATCTCCCTTCTCACTGGGGTCCCTTTTCAATTTAAAATGGATTCTTTGTTTCTGTCAAAAACTATGCATATTCAGAGACGAAGTGTTAGTTTCGTCCCGAGAACGTACTCTCACTTCACAAAACAAAATTGATTTGAACTGATGGGTTCCCATTGCAACATTGTGTTTCCTGCATGTTTACACTGAAAAATCTGCGACTGTGAATATTAGCATGCTAAATGTCATATTGCACTGTATGGAGACGGGTAAGTGCTGGTCACCGCAAGGCTGCTTGTGCTATATAGCACTGTATGGAGACGGGTAAGTGCTGGTCACCACAGGGCTGCTTGTGCTATATAGCACTGTATGGAGACGGGTAAGTGCTGGTCACCACAAGGCTGCTTGTGCTATATAGCACTGTATGGAGACGGGTAAGTGCTGGTCACCACAGGGCTGCTTGTGCTATATAGCACTGTATGGAGACGGGTAAGTGCTGGTCACCACAAGGCTGCTTGTGCTATATAGCACTGTATGGAGACGGGTAAGTGCTGGTCACCACAGGGCTGCTTGTGCTATATAGCACTGTATGGAGACGGATATTACACTTGTCTTGTCACCGCAAGGCTGCTTGTGCTATATAGCACTGTATGGAGACGGGTAAGTGCTGGTCACCACAAGGCTGCTTGTACTATATAGCACTATATGGAGACGGGTAAGTGCTGGTCACCACAAGGCTGCTTGTGCTATATAGCAATGTACGGAGACGGGTAGGTGCTGGTCACCACAGGGCTGCTTGTGCTATATAGCACTGTATGGAGACGGGTGAGTGCTGGTCACCACAGGGCTGCTTGTGCTATATAGCACTGTATGGAGACGGGTAAGTGCTGGTCACCACAAGGCTGCTTGTGCTATATAGCACTGTATGGAGACCGGTATGAAGTACTGGTCACCACAGGGCTGCTTGTGCTATATAGCATTGTATGGAGACGGGTAAGTACTGGTCACCACAGGGCTGCTTGTACTATATAGCACTGTATGGAGACGGGTAAGTGCTGGTCACCACAAGGCTGCTTGTGCTATATAGCACTGTATGGAGACGGGTAAGTGCTGGTCACCACAAGGCTGCTTGTGCTATGTAGCACTGTATGGAGACGGTAAGTGCTGGTCACCACAGGGCTGCTTGTGCCTATATAGCACTGTATGGAGACGGGTAAGTGCTGGTCACCACAAGGCTGCTTGTGCTATATAGCGCTGTATGGAGACGGGTAAGTGCTGGTCACCACAGGGCTGCTTGTGCTATATAGCACTGTATGGAGACGGGTAAGTGCTGGTCACCACAAGGCTGCTTGTGCTATATAGCACTGTATGGAGACGGGTAAGTGCTGGTCACCACAAGGCTGCTTTTGTGCTATATAGCACTGTACGAAGACGGGTGCTGGTCACCACAAGGCTGCTTGTGCTATATGGCACTGTATGGAGACGGGTAAGTGCTGGTCACCACAAGGCTGCTTGTGCTATATAGCACCGTATGGAGACGGGTAAGTGCTGGTCACCACAGGGCTGCTTGTGCTATATAGCACTGTATGGAGACGGGTAAGTGCTGGTCACCACAAGGCCGTTTGTGCTATATAGCACCGTATGGAGACGGGTATAAAGTGCTGGTCACCACAGGGCTGCTTGTGCCATATAGCGCTGTATGGAGACGGGTATAAAGTGCTTGTCACCGCAAGGCTGCTTGTGCTATATAGCACTGTATGGAGACGGGTAAGTGCTGGTCACCACAGGGTTGCTTGTACTATATAGCACTATATGGAGACGGGTAAAGTGCTGGTCACCACAAGGCTGCTTGTGCTATATAGCACTGTACGGAGACGGGTAGGTGCTGGTCACCACAGGGCTGCTTGTGCTATATATAGCACCGTATGGAGACGGGTAAGTGCTGGTCACCACAAGGCTGCTTGTGCTATATAGCACTGTATGGAGACGGGTAAGTGCTGGTCACCACAAGGCTGCTTGTGCTATATAGCACTGTATGGAGACGGGTATAAAGCGCTTGTCACCGCAAGGCTGCTTGTGCTATATAGCGCTGTATGGAGACGGGTAAGTGCTGGTCACCACGGTAAGGCTGCTTGTGCTATATGCTGGATACGGGTAAGTGCTGGTCACCACAAGGCTGCTTTGTGCTATATAGCACTGTATGGAGACGGGTAAGTGCTGGTCACCACAAGGCTGCTTGTGCTATATAGCACTGTATGGAGACGGGTAAGTGCTGGTCACCACAGGGCTGCTTGTGCTATATAGCACTGTATGGAGACGGGTAAGTGCTTGTCACCACAAGGCTGCTTTGTGCTATATAGCACTGTATGGAGACGGGTAAGTGCTGT